ACTTTCCATAAGATCAGTGTAGTCGAATTTCGCCGGGAGCCTCATCTAATGCCTCGCTCCTGACAGATGGGTGTATGAGCCAGCATTGCTCCACCCTTCGTGACCCCGAATGGTCCACTGCCCGCGCACTGCTCTCCTTAATTCAACTCCAATCCTTCCTCAACTCGTACTTCTCCCGTCCATCCATTTATCCTTATATAATAATCATAGATCAGTAGGATGGCACTTTGTTTCTCTTCATCGTTAATCAAATTATTCTTGAAACTAAAGCGGTTCCCGTTGAAGGCATGGGTGAATTGCCTTTCTACATTTCATCTGTCTCGTAACATCATTATATCAAAGATAAGCTTCTTTTTTTCTACTTTTATTCCAACATCTTTCCCTCATTTGCTCTTTCAGTGTTTAATTTTTTTTTTACATTTTCTGACAATTTTCAAAGACATTTCGACTTTATTCGCAATAATTAAGTGTATGTATGGTTTGTTAACTCAACTAAATTTCAGTCGATCTAAGTTGGTTAAATTTCAAACTTCTCCTACTTCCAACTTTTGACATTATAAAATTAATAATAGCACAGCATATACTTATCAATTTGCCTTAGCAATGGACGATAATATTACCACAAATGCCTAGCAATCATTATGCTAGTGCCTAAGTAGGTGTTAATACCGATATTTATACACATGTGACTAATTATTAGTATTACTACAAGTGTTACAATCATTCTTACTAATTATTGATTATTTCATTATTATTGATTATTGATTACTATTATTATTAATTATTAGTAGGTGTTAGTACAGATATTTATACACGTGTGACTAATTATTAGTATTATTACAAGTGTTATAATCATTCTTACTAATTATTTATTATTTAATTATTAATTATTGTTTGATATTATTATTAACTATTATTATTATTAATTAGTATTTTCATTATCATTATTTTCGTTATCATTAACGTTGTTGATATTATTATTTCTGTCGTCAGTGATGTTACTTTTATTATTGTTTTGATATTACATGATTATTGCTAGGAAAGCGTAATTGTTTGTGCTGTTAACTCTTAACCATCCATTCTCTATAGATAAATGCTTCCTCTAAGAAATGAAATCATTTGACATTCATAAATGACCCGTCATAAATAATCTTTTACAAACCGTATATCTCAGAATATAAGTGAATGTATATTACAGCAATCATCTGGATTTCTGATAATTTATTTACATGAGCTACAGAAGAAAGTTTTACTATGAAGAAAATGCATAATATCTGCGTGTATAAATTTTAAAGTGATGCTAGCCTAAATGATCAAATTATTCGTACAAAAAGTGTCATTTGAAGAAAAGAAAATTGAAAATCCGACAGTTGGTAACGTAGATCTCATTTGTAATCCGATAATTTTATTGGTCAAAAGTTCTAAATATCATCTTATATGAAAGGTGAGTCCTTTTAAACCATGTTTTCTTAAAAAGCAATGGTGTAAAATATATTGTTGTGCACAAAAAAATATATATGTAAATATATTTCATAAATGAAAATATATTTATATATATATATTTATTTAAAGATATTTTGATGCAGAATGACAAAAGAATCATCAACAACGAGAATGAATTTGTTTGATGTGAGCCTGGTGGTATGGGGCATGTATTCCTGTTTCTAAATCATTCCGAAATTACTATTATGAAAGAATCGGTTTCTTTCTTGAAATCAAGAGTTTTCGAAGCTGTATCATTCATTCAACCAAGTTGTTGCTTAATGGCATATGACTGAAAATAATGTTTCTTTCAAAAAAAGAAAAAAAAATAAACACGATTTATTCTATTCTTTCCTTCTCTTGTTAAATTTATCGTTGGAGGTTGGTGAAAGGATCATCGGAGGATAATGACAATGTCAGTGTCTTCATTTATTCCGCAATGAGTGAAAACCAGCATGTGTGAGTTTTCATTGTTCTCATTTTGTCCTGAGGCACTTCTCCCAAAGGTCAGTTTGTCAAAAAAGGGGGTCATTTGTGTCAGCGAAATTAAACATTCACTTTTATGCGCACTCCCCCAATTTTCCAGTCGACAGATGACCCTTTTTGGTTTTTCCGTATATGTCCAAGACACAGATGATGATACCACCCAAGGCGAAGTTAGATTACCCGATCGGAAAAATCCGGTTCCACTGTAGCAGATGTGGTGCTCCCTACATTACTTCATTCCCTCTTTTTCTAGTGGGATCGTCTTCAATGGCAAAGTGGCACTGCACATTTCCTTCATGAAATTCAGAATCATTTGGCATTTTATCCTAGAATTCAAAACTTTATAAATAGTTTTGCAAAGTTGAAGCAAGAAAATTTCCATCATTTCTACCTCCTTTTTAACTCATCTACTAATTTCAGTCACAGTAAGGTTATGAAGGTACTTGAAACTCTCTGACTGTAATATTCAGAGCTTTTAATTTGAATCTTTCCAATGATAGATATTAGTTTTACATTTGACTATATCATTTAGTTTATTAATGACAGCTATCATTCTCATATTCGACGTCCTCTTTCAATAACAACAGTAAGGAAGGATGACACACGGAAACAATGGAAGACGGAAGAAATAATGACACACGGAAACAATGGAAGACGGAAGGAGTAATGTGTGTGATGAACATTCGACCATCAAGAAATCCCGACTGAAGTGGCGTAACCGGCGATTCTTCATTCTTTTGATCAATGGTTCCCTGATAATGGTTTTACCATCTTTTCCTATTTCCTGACGTAAAACGCTGAACACTTTGAGGCAGCACTTAAGAAGTAAATTAGTTGGATTGCCTATTGATCTGAAATTATCATTGAAGAAATTATCAGTATTCAGTCAGTTATATCCGGCTACAACATTTTTATAAACTATTATGTTCCTCTTCTTGTTATTTATTTTTATTCATAAAACTTAGTTACAAATATATCACGATTAATCAAATATATAGTGCTAAGGCTTAATGTCGATATGATTACTTCTAAACTTCTTACTACAACAATTTAATCTTTTGTACTGAATTGATGATTAATTGCTGTAAACTTCCTGAATGGAATAACAACCAATACTATAAAATCCATCCTTTGGTGATGATAATTTCATTGAATGGATCTCTTGCCTAACATATAAAACGATAATAACTATGACAATGTGAAGCTTTAATATCTCGAAACGCAAATTTCTCACTTTCATAATACTAATCGTCGATTTCTGCAGCAATCTGTGCCTGCAAAAAAAAACGACTAATATGATAGTTTGTAGTTGGTTATAGAAATGTTTGATCAGAAAATATTTTCTTAATTTTAAGTTTTTCAAAAATTTTAGTTTTTTAATATTTCGTTAATTTTAGTTAAGAAAAATAAATACATGTCATATTTAACTGCATTTTGATTATATCGAATAATAATGCTTATATATATTTAGTGTTTGAGAGGGACGATAACGTAGCACACGATGGCACCTGTCATCATCACTATTACAAATCTTTATTGCGCATTACTCTTACTTGCTTTTCTTTCCCTCACTCATCCATTTTTTCCACTTTTGTCAATTCAGTTACAGTTTCTTTAAAAGCTCTTCAGCTCTCTCTTTCTCTCTGTTCATCACGTGAATGTTTATTACGGAAAGGAAAAAGTTTACTTTACATGCGTACTTTTAAAATATTTTCTCACTTTTACAACTATCATGATCACTTCCACTTACAATTATAGTGTGAACTTATTATGATATAATGATTATAATTACAATTACAGTAAGGAAGAAATTAGTTAGGATGATGAGAAAATTGAATTACGACAATGATGGAAAATATTGTATTAAAGGTATGATTTTGAGGATATCGAATAATGCTACATTTACTCCTGATAGATATGTTCGATAATAGCACCTGACGGCGATTAATATGGTAAATAATATTTTAAGGAAAACGGGAACTGTAATATACAGTAATGCTAACGTATCTGTATGCGCGCACTCTTTCGGGAGTGAAAAAGCTTATTAAGATTAAAAGATCGACGAGATCAGGACATGATATTTGGAATGGTACTCATATAAGTACCGCTGAGAAGGAATAGGGTTGAAAGAAAAGAAGATTGCCAGATATTTTAGATACTCTTATTTCTTTCTTTTTTCATTATATATTTTCTATGAAGCTTTAATTAACTCAACTATTTAAAATTTACCGTCACTTATTGATTTCGGTATTTCAATGTGTTTGATATCAAATATTTCCAATAATTAAATTACTGAAATGTATGAAATGTTATTTTCCTGTCCTACAAATGATACTATCTATATGTAATTGTTACTAATAGTTATTAAGTGAGTAATGAAATTCCAAACTTATATTCATTTTATGAATAATCAAATAATTAAAAAATTGCTTTTCAATCGTCTTCTTAGAATTGATGATATGACTTTTTAAGTGTTGAAATGATAACAATCACTGAAAACATTCTTTCTTCTTTTTTTTTAAATATAAATTTTGTTAAATATCGTTTAAAAAAAAAAAAGAAAACATATTTATTGTTGCCAGTCTTCTATTACATATTGTTTATCCGATGTTAATGGAAACATCCCAAATAACCATAACTGCATCTAATTTTACGATATCACACATTTGTTATGTAATCAATAGATGACATTATATTTTCGTGTTTCGGAATATTCTTAAACTAACAATTTTTGTTTGTTTGTTACTGTTACAAATTATTTTTCACTCTAATCAAAATATTAGTTTTAGGTAAGACAATTGAAATCCTAAAATACCTTACAATATATCATCTTTGATCTTTTTTTTCTTTTCTCTTTTGTTTGTTTGTTTGTTTGTTTTCTTTTATTGAGAGAAAAATCAACAATTTCTAGGCTTTAGTAAAACTCTCGAATAATAAATATAAGGCACGAATGATGCGGGGAATGAAGAAGGAATGAAAAAAAGAAAGAGAGGATGAGATATGGAAGAAAGAGTATTTCCATAATAAAAATAATGGATGCTGATGTTCCTGTTCCTCTGGTTATATGGCGTAAAGGCTTTGCTTGCTTTACTTCCCCGAGTTGTATCGGTGGGCGGACTGCGGTGCCAGGAGGTGTTTGTTTGAGCAGTGTTTATTTCTAAACATGATAAATGTGAAAAATGTTTGTGAGTAGTAGTATGATGCCCGTTCCTGGCCTCTTCTCTTCATGCCTTTCTAGACCACTATTTTATGCCTTATTTTCCATTTCTCCTCTCTCTTTTTCTCTCTCTTTTTTCCCTATCCCTTTTCATATATCTATGTCTATGTTTTTACTTTTATTTCCTTACTGATGACCAAAATATATATATAATACAATCGGAAAAAAAATACACACACATACATACATACACATACATACATACATAAACATACATACATATGTATATATATATATAAACATATATATATACATATGGATGGTAGTAATGGTTTACTTGGAAAATTTTTGTTAACTTTGGATAAAATTTAAAATTGATTAAATAAAACTTAACTGACATCAATCCAACACTATTTAAAAAGAATTGGAATTAATTGATTTCATTTCGATTTGGCTATTTACTTTGATGAGAATCGATAGATAGGAATTGATGATATTCATTTATTCCATTATAACTTCTCTTATATAAATCTATAATCTCTTAGGCATTCTTATATAATCTATTAGGCATTCTTCTGCTATATAATATAATAGGCATTCTTCGTTTATATAATCTATTAGGCATTCATTCATTCATCTCTTATATAATCTATTAAGCATTCTTATGTTAATTTTATAACTTAGTTCTAAATGAGGAATATTTTTAATACAAATGTAATTTATCAATTAATGAATTAATTAATTGTAACATACTAAATAAAATAATTGTATGGAATAAATAAACAAAAGAACAATTTATCCTTATTTTTTGGTGCTATTTCTTAGAATACTTTTATGATTTATTATTGTGAAAGACTGATGATACATATCCATATATTCGGTACATGTCTACACATTTTTCAAATTTATATTCTCACTTAAAATTGGGCCTTTAATAAAAGTAAAATTGATTGGAGCCTTTGTATAATCACTTTACTATATTAATATTTTGCTATCATTTTCATAATTATACATTGAAAATCGTAAATTTGAATCATTGAAGCTAATGTTTCATTTTTTCCCAAATTTGCATATTTTTTGCAAATCATATTTATCAATTTCATAAATTAAATGAAATCACTTTTGTCATTTTGTGTACCAGCAGGTCGGTTGAGTTCTTCTTCAAGCTTCCAATTCATACTTAGCTTCGTGAAACGTGCCAATTATACGATATACTGCTTTGGTGATGCTAATGGCTTATTAAATATATTATTCGTTTGACTTCCACAAGATTTAGCAAATAGTTTCTTTTATAATTACGATGTACAGATTACATCGTTTTAAAATTCTTATTTCGAAATTCATTATACCAAATTTTCGTGAAGATATAATTTTAATTGTGAAATAGGAATGAAAAATACATTGAAATTTTTTAGTTAATTGCTTTGTTGATTTTTTGGTGAAAAAAAAGATGAAAGAGAAAAGTTGTTTATTTAAGGTTCACAAATGTATTCTACTATTTTGGTCGCGTAGAATGGTCAGTGGTATTGTTCATTCAATTTCCTTTGATTACAAGCCATTACTTCCTTCATCAATAATTCTTCATTCAACGTTCAGTTCATTTTTGCTATCAAATAAAGCGACAACTTCATTCATCTCACATATCACATTTATTTTTATCACATTATGAAGCAGGTAATTCCAAATATTTTAAGTCTTTTGAATCATTCAATATCTTTTGAATCATTAAGCATGAATCAAATATTCTTTTTAATTAACTCACTACCATAATAAAATTGTCTCTTTTATTTGTCTTCTTATCAGTACTCAAACAAATTTAATATTTCCAAATTGGCACACTGTCATACTTCTCATTCTTTATTCGTAAAAAAAATGACCGATACGGTCGTATTTCTGTATTAAATGATTTTTGTAATATTGTCAGTGTGATACGAGCTAGGAGCAGTGTGAAAGCCTAAATATATGAAATAATTTTAGGTTATTTTTCTTGCTATCACAAAAATACCTTTTTGACGATAACATTTTGATTTGAATCTTTTCATTTATTACGTAAATAAATCAGAATCGGCAAACATAGATTAATATATTTTACAGAGATTTGTTCTTTTTTTTTCTTATTTTGAATTCATAAAAGCTAAACAAAAGAGCAATTAGTTAAGATGATGGATTATTATATAATTACTGCTTTCATAAGTTCTTATATAATACAAAAATGCGTGTTTAGTGCTTGCCGACGATGTTAATATTTAGTTTTAGAATTTAATTTTGCTATTTGATCACTATATTACTTCATCATTTCATCTCACATAATCATTATTACTAAAATCAACAAAATCTAACGGATTTACAGCTGACAATGTAAATCCGCTATAAAAATATTTCACAGCCATATGTGACGCTATTACATATAGCGATATCAAAATCACGAGATGATCCATATTGAGTAACGAAATGTCTAAATGTAGTATCATATAATTGTAGGATAATTTATACTGTTGGCAGTTGAACATAAATGATGGTTGAAAGAAGGAAATCATGAAATTTAATGATGTGTTTTAAATAGCTTTTTTTTCCGGATATATTTCAAAAAAGTTTTCTAAGAAAGTGAAAAATAATTGCGTCAAAAAATTTTTCCTCCGCTTTTTTTTCTACAAATGTTGAAAAAAAGAGTATTGCGTGAGATGGATAGTGAATGCATGCAATGCAAATTAGGTAATATAGTTAAATATAGTTAATATAGTTAGTTTAGTCATTTCATCATGCTGCTCATTACAGTATATTTTTCTATAATTTCACACATTTAGCGTTTCATGTTTATTAATAACAGTGCCATTAAATTCTACTTGCAATTATTTGATTATATCTTTGGTTTATAAAATTGTCATTTTCCTTCTTTCTTTTCCATAATACTCATCTTCAAAATTTTTCTCGATCTTGAAGTAGTGAAGGGAGGAAGGAAGAGGAATGGATTTTTTCATTAAAAATTAAATTCATTTTCGTTCTCATATTCAACTTTCTTCTTTTATACTATTTCTATGTAGATTTTTTTTGAATCAAATTTTGTATATGTTTTATTATCGAAGAAATAATATCCTAAATAGCATCTGATAGTAGAAGATCTATTTTGCAAAGCTATTTAATATCTGAAATTGATTTTCAGCGAAAAATATTTCGTCAATATTATTGCATCTATTTTTCAATCCTGAAAAATTTTTTGTGAATAATTTTAGGAAGAGTTAGATTCATGTGTTGTTGAAGCATTATCAAAAGCGGCTCGTATTCTATCCGATGAATCCGATTATCCAATATCCGATTCATTATCTTCAAAATCCTCATTTAGTGAATCATTAATGCAGGTGCCTTCAACTACATCTACACCATTACAACAATCGCAACTACCAATAACTTCTTTTTTCATTGTACATAACGAAACAGCTCATACAAGTACCGAATTACTACCATATCAGGTACCATCAACAACACCAATTAACAGTCCTATTGGAAAACGACATGTATGTGGAGATTGCGGCAAGGTAGTCAATCTATTATCTGAAGTTCCATTATAAATAATAAATTTGTTATAACATCCGTACTTTGGCTTATTGAGCTTTTAAATTATTCCATTATTTACATCAGCATTCATGTTATATTTATGAAGCCAATGATATTGTAATGTGTAGTTTGGCATGACTTATAAAGTTTGGCATGACTTAAAGAAGCGAATGCGGTAATTTTCCATTTATTCTACATTTAAAATTATCAAATTTTAAATTTTAAAATGTAAGTCAGAAATTGTTTTTTGAAAACGAAATTTTGTTTCCATTCTTAAAATTCCATAATTTTTAATGTATACCAACTTTGAAATTACTGTTAATGTTAAAACAAAACCATAGGCTTTTCCTTATTTGTCAATATTGGAATCTCATAAACGTTGTCATACTGGCGAGAAACCATTTGATTGCCATTTCTGTGAAAAGAAATTTGCCCAAAAAGCAACGCTACAAGTTCACGAACGAACCCATACCGGTGAACGACCGTTAGTTACTTTTCTAATTTTTTTTTAATTTTCAAAAATTTGCATTTATTCGAATTGGCGAGAAGATGTTTCAGTAAGAACATTTTTTTATCCCTTTATTTTATTTTATTTTTTAAATGCAAATCATTTTGACAATTGGAGAATTTTAGTTAAGAAGTATAGGAAGGAAATTTGACAGTTCACTAGAATTTAAAACTTATTTACATTTTTCACATTTGAATCATAATGAATTAAATTATTCATTAATTTGAAGGATCAATTTTGCTTTCTGTTTTTCTGATTAATTAATATACTCATTTGCAGCTACAAATGTAAATACTGCGACAAAACGTTTGCTCAGTATGGTACAAAAACCGTTCACGAGAAGAGTGCACATTTGGGTATGTATCATTTCCATAGTTGGATTCGCTTCATCTCTTTTGATGATTTATTTTTTTCATGAAATTTCATCAAAAGAAAAAATTCAATTATCATCGAATGCATCACAATTACCAACAAAAATGTTTTTTTGGAAATGTAATTTCAAATGGTTACTATAATTTTTAGGATCTGCCTATTTTTTTTAACTTAGTCTTATTTCATACTTCCTGATTTGAATTAAATTAAATTTTCATTTCAGGCATTCGAAACTACAAATGTCCAAAATGTAATAAATGTTTATCATCACCATCAGCATTGTATACACACAAGAAAACTCATGGTGAAAAGACATTACAATGTAATTATTGTCCCAAAACGTTTGCATTAAAAAATTATTTAAAATTACACGTGAAACAAGTACACGAGCAATCCGATCGCAAACATATTTGTCATTACTGTGACAAAAGTTTCGCTTATGCAGGCAGTTTACAGGTTAGAATTTTTTTATTACTACATATGAAATGTTCATTTTCATCATTTATTTGCACTAAAATTAAGAAGATGAAATGAATCTGATATGAATGTAATGATTAATATGCCAAGATCTTTCCATTTTTGCTTCCAATATAATTTATTTTTTTATAAAATTTCACCAACAAAGAAATACAGAAAAGGTATCAAAGCAACGATAATGAGCTAATATTTATAGGTACATGTACGAACACATACCGGTGAGCGACCTTATGTATGCAAATTCTGTCCAAAAGCATTTGCTAGCCAAGGTAATCTGCAGAGCCATGAACGAACTCATACCGGCGAACGACCATATACTTGTGCACAATGTGGGCGATCTTTCATCCAGAAATCACAGCTTACTGCCCACGAATCAACACATCAATATCATCCGGGTGTTCGTTTTTATCACTTTATTTAATTTTATATTATTTATTAAATTAAAATTTACTATATTCTATTCATTAGACATGTTCATATCCAGGATTTGCCGATTTTTTTTTAACTTCATTCTCTTCCAAACTTCCTTTGAATTAAATTAAATTTCATCTCAGGCATTCGAGGCTACAAATAATTGTAAAATTTTAAATGAATAGTGTGGTTGAACTTAAATCTTATACTAAATATACATATAGTATATTTGATTGGTTATTTCTATTCAAATAAAGATTATTATATATTGAGTATATTCAATGACAACAGAATATATACCATATCTGTTCATACCTGGACTATCATTTAGTTTATCCAAATTTAAAATTTTATTGCAAATTTCAGATATCACCCGAAACAATACAAAACAAGAAGACAGCAGAATATATTTGCAAATATTGCGGGAAACGATACGCTTATGCTTCATCACTCTATGTTCACATTCGTTTACATACCGGTGAACGACCATTTCGGTTAGTTTTCTTCTATTAACTTCTCCATTTTCTTTTTATTAAAAAAAATTACTTTCACTTTTTGGAAATTCACAATTTTAAAAATGATCAATCTTATTTTCTTCGATCGAACTATTTCTTCCCGCTGCAATCATTTCTCATATGGTGGAAATTGCGAACATCAATAAACATCTTAGGAAGCTTGTTCATTCTATGTTAATTAAACTTCCTAAGATCTAACTGAAATATTTGTGGTATAGAATCTCGATATCAAGCCTCTTATTTCCTTCAACGAAAAAAAAAAACATTTTTGAAATTCTCCTTTCGTTGTTATGTTTTTGTGTCTGCTTGTGACGGTTTTACGGCTGCCGTACCAGGCGCTGCTTTGTACCAAAGCAGCAAATCGCTATAAAAGTACACGAGCATTTTCCTTACTTTTTTGAAAAAAATCCTTTTTCTTCGGGATGGCGAGAAGAGGAACTGATAGCTTTATCAGCTTTTTGAAGAAAAAAAAAGAACAAAAGTTTTACACAAGGTTGAAATCGAGGATCAACGATATCATTCTGTAAGGGACTGTAAATATAACTAATATAATTTACTCAACTTCACTTATCGCTTCCAATTTTGTAGATGCAGCTATTGTGATAAAACATTTACAAATCAGGGTAATATGCAAGTTCATGAGCGTGTTCATACAGGCGAAAAACCGTAAGTCATGCTATAAATACATCATTTTCCGAAATAATCATTTTATGGACGGAGAAAACGTTTTCTTCTCTATTATTTAAATCGTAGCATTCTCTTCATTCATCGTTCTATATCTATCAAAATTATGCATAAAATTTGGTGCTAAAATGTTTGCAAGAAAAAAGACTAAAAATTTGGTGGAACTTATTTTGATTTCTCATACATTTTGAATTAACAATATGAATGAATTAATTCTGTTTCTTTTAGTTATAAATGTAACACATGTGAAAAAAGCTATGCCCAGAAAGTGGGCTTGAAAATTCATTTGGAACAGTGTCAAAAATTTTTAAATATTCAACAACGAGCTACTCCAAATGCGGAATTGAATAGTGTTAAAACGTTAGATGGCTTATTACCCAAATATTTGAGTAAGTTGTTGGCTTTCATTGTAACACTGTAATAAAGATATCGTTTAGAAATCTAGCTAAGATGGGATGAGTGGAGGTAAAAGTATGAGCGTTGTGCTGATTGATGAAAATAATTTTTTTTGTTCTCGAAATTCATTTATGAGTTGGATAATAATTAGTGATAATGAAGATAATGTATAATTTACAGAATTCCTTAGAAGAATGAATGGTATTTAAAGATTATTTAAAAAATGAAAAAAGAAGATTTTCTAAATGAATACATTTCAGGTGTACCTGATGGAATAGCAATGGCAACATTGCAATATCCCACTTCACCCTCCGGATCGTCAATTCGGGATTTGACTAGTCCTTCATTGGGCCTAAAATTACCAACCTTACCTGCAACCAGTGCATATAATACAACCACATTAAATGCAAATGGTGAAATTATAGATCATATGGGCCGAAATGATTTCATTACTGCTATGGCCAATGAGCAGGTAATGAAATCTGGAAATGAAACCATCGAAAGCAAACAGTCTGCATTTCACGGAGTTGTTCCGGATCCATATAGAAACACTCCGCTCGATCCATACGATTCACAGTTTTATGCTTACAAACAACTTCTGGAAGGTGGTAATTCACCTGGATCACTATTCTCACAACAAATGATACTTCAAAGTCAACAATTACAACTTCTTCTACAATATCCGGAGCAGTGGTGCAATGTTTTAACACAGCCGATTAATGTTTATCCGCCTATAACTACGCTACCAGCTCTAAATTCAACTGCTCAACAATCGACACCTCATTTGACAGCAATTAATATTCCAAATGATTTTGCACCTTCTTCTGTTAAGCATGAACCTGCCATGCACGTGTGAGATTAATCACCCTATTATTAAAATTATTATCCAAAAAAAAATTTATTTCTTATTATTCATATCAAAAAATTATTTCTTATTATTCAAAATAAAAATTTGATTTTTATTATTCAGAATAAAAATTTAATTCTTATTATCCATTGTTTTATCCGGGTTCAGTGACTTTCTCGTAATCGTGAACTGATGATATGGTACAATATGGTATAGTATGGTATGATATGATATGCATGTAAGCCAGATAGAACTGCTCAGAATATTTCATATTTCTACGTAAATGAAGCCACTGTAGGGATTCGTAAGTTCTCCAGAGTTGTATTAAAAAACCACGGGAGAAATCTCTTTGAACAGATCGATTTAGTCTTTTTTCTTTCAAATATGCGAAATTGCTGGCTTTATTCGCGGAACTTTTTTTTCGTCTTAATATTACTGTTTTTCATAGTAATATTGATCATACTGTTACCACAAGAGAAGTGTACATTAATACAACTTCATCATTGTTGATACCGTAATTAGTAGAACAAACATGCTATATACTGTACTGTTTGAAGTGTGGTAACATTTGGTAGCTATAGATGTAAGTTACCAATAGTAATAGAAATTGTTGATAGGTTTTTCTATAACTTTTTATGGCACCTATGATACGACAATAGTTAATCATTTATTTTAGCAACGATCAACAGCGGTTCGTTTCGTGTAAGATACGGTGAAGTGTTACATGGTCCACAGTATGGTTTATTTGATGTTGTTGATGTGGATCTATTAACAATATTACGTTGAATTATTATGCCTTCTTCATTCATTCTAGTCTAACTATATATACATTAACATAAGTTAATCTGTTTTATTTACTTTAAATTAATTTGAATTATTGCTAACAATTCTACTTATTTGAGCAACACATATATATCGATCAGTCATTTGATTATCCTTTATTGTTATATCAATTTTATACTTGTTCCCAGAATTAACAAACTGTCCATATCTGCCGTGTACCTTGCTTCAATACTCTACTCCACTTAACATATACGATTTTACTGCCATAATTAGCATTTTTTTTTTTTTGCAACATTTACAACATTAATATATTGAAATTAGCATGCATGATCGCTGGGTAAGATTGTGCCAGTTCTTTAGATTTTTCTTATTAAACTTTCTGCGTTAATTTTATGACCACACTATTTTTTTTTCAAATATTTTCTATAAAAGGTTTATACGTATGCATGCATGTTTTAAAACATGAATTTTCACTTGGTTAACTTTCAGTCTGAATTTCTTTTCATCCTTTCAACAAAGCCAACTTGTCTTTCTTCTTTGTTTTATGTCGTTAATATATTTTTATTTCTTTCAATCATTTTTCTTTGAGATATTTTTGACAGTTTGGTTCTTACAAATAATTGTTCGTGTTGTGTGTTCAATTTCGATTCGTGTCTTTTTTTCTATTTCTTTTTGTTTAAATAATCCTTTGATTATTTTTATTAGCTTAATTTTTGTTGTTTGTTTATGTTTTCATTGAAGTATCTCATCAATAAGTTGTCTTTCCACTCACTTGTCTTTGTGTATATCCAACAAATTCAAATGCAGCCATGTTTTTTCCCATTTTTTTGTTTTCATCCTATGCACAGTAATTTAAATAATTTTTCATTATACTGATATAGATTTAATATATACATACCTATATATA